AAGTGATGATGGTTCTCACCATGCGGGTTTGTTTATTTTTGCTTCCTCCTTGTTGCCTCTCCTTGGATTGATGTTAGCTAGTTTCTTCCCTCCTTTGGTTTGACATGTTTGTTTTGCTCGAGGACGAGCAAAAGCTTAGCTTGGGGGGATTTGATAAATTGCTATTTGATATGATTTTAGGGTGTTTTGAACCTAGTTTACTTGATAAAATTTGCGTTTTGGTTCATTTTTACTCTATTATTATGCAATTTTTGTGTATCCTATGCTTCACGGGTTGTTGGTGTTTTTGTTGAGATTCTAGGTTCAAAAGAACGACCAAATGGAGCCCATGGATACAAAGCCGAGGTTAGAAGCATGAAGATGGTTGAAAGAAGCCAAGGAAAGGAGCAATATAGAAGAAAAGATGGAAAAGGGGCTTAGAAGACCCTGCACGGCCGTGCCAGACCTTGCACGTCCGTGCAGGAGGTTCCAGAAAGTTTCAGCAAGCTGCCAAGGCCTGCACGGCCGTGCTTAATTCGGCACGCCCGTGCAGAAGAGGCTGCACGTCCGTGCCAGACCTTGCACGTCCGTGCAGGATGCTCCAGAAACTTAGAACATTCTGCCAAGGCCTGCACGGGCGTGCCAAATTAAGCACGTCCGTGCAGATGTAGCTGCACGCCGTGCCAATATCTGCACGTCCGTGCGGAGCTGCTCGATTCTTAGCAGAACGTTCTGCCTCAATTCTGCCCCCTCTGCACGTCCGTGCCGAATCTGGCACGACCGTGCTTAGCCTTGCACGTCCGTGCCAATTCTGGCACGTCCGTGCAGACCTGCAGTCGATCTCCTTCCTTGTTTTCTCCGTCCTTTTTATTTGGGGGTTATATAAATACCCCTTTAGAGCTCTTTTGTAGGGGGAGGCAGTTTTTTAGAGCTTTCCTCTTAGTTTGTAGTCTTAGAACATTAAATTCTCAAATCATTAGTTAGTCCTTAATTTTTAGCTTGGAAATATTCAAATTCAATCATTGTAGAAGACAAAGTCCACCATTGTTGCTCACTTTGAAGCTTCATAGTAACCATTTCTTACTCATCTTTTCTACTTCTCTTTACTTTGTTGTTGATTACTTGCTTAATTCTTGCATGTTTAGATTGTTAATTAGCTTAATCCTTAGCTTGAACTTGCTCATGAATTGCTTGAAACCTCTAATTGCTTTAACCTCCATGGATTGTGAGTAGTCTAAATTCTAGGGTTTGGGTAAAACCCTCAATGTAGTCACTAATTACTTGTTGCATGTGCTAATTTGGTTGTTGTGGGATGATGATTAGTTGAGCTTAAGTGGTTTAATTGCTTAGTTCTTGTATATGGCCATTGCTAGAACTATTTATCCAAGCTTTCTCAACGAAGGATCGAGAGATGAACTTGAGTTAGCTCCCTTATGCTTGATTGACCCGAAATGCCATGAGAATAGGGATTACCGGTCAAGGGAATGTTTATGTCATCGTGATTATGCTTTAACACTTGTTTTATGCTATGTAACCACGAGAGTAGGTTGTATTCATGATTCAAGTAATCCCTCTAGCTTGAGATAGTAGTTGGGTGATTTAGATGACTTCCCCTAATTTATCCATTAATTTACCTTGATTGTAGCATGCTAATTGTGATTTGTGATGAAGTTGAGTGGTATAATCCGAGCCCTAGATTCCTCTTAATATTGTTAATCTCCTCTTAGCTTTAGTTGAATTGAATTAGAAGAAGTTACTCAAAACCAACCCAATTTCGACTTCATTTAGCTTATTTAAACGATAGTACTCGGTGGTTGATTCAACGCCTCTCTTGGGTTCGACCCTTTCTTACCCTTGCTACTAGTTAGTGAGACCAAGATAGGAATTATTATCTTTGGTAGGCTCGACGACGGCCTATCAAAATACATAATATTGAAAATTTTATAGTGGTCGTTTACAATATGACTATCATATTGTTTTCATACTTATATACTCCTGTCGTTTTTTTAAGTGTCCCACTTCAATTCTCAAAAATGGCCGTTTTTTTTAAGTGCCCCATTACCAAATTTAGAAACCTTACTCAACTTATATATTATTTCTCTCTTCCTTTTGACCCCACCATCATTTTATAATATTTCTCCCTCTCACATTATACCTAGTGGTCCCCCATTTATATTTTTTTTTTATCTTACTTTTCCAAATTTTTTTTATTTCTAACCATACTTATTATTTTACTCTTTTGCCTAAAAACTCCGCACACACCCCAATGGGGCCGGGCACTTAAATAATGGAGGGAGTAATTTATAGTTGACATAAATTATATTTTAGTATAAAATAGTATTATCAACATTTTTTTTATTTATCAAATTTTTAGTTTCATTTATGTAATTTATATTCTTATTTTATAGTTTATCGAAAAATATTTATTTTATATTGGATTAAAATTTTCAAAAATTATATTTGCATTGTAGATATTAGAAGACTAATCATGTCCATATAATCATTGGCGGAGCCAGCGTGGGTCCTGGTGGGTCACGTGACCCACCAAGTCCAAAAATGAAAGTTGGTTATGTAACCCTAAGTGCATAACAATTCCAAATAAATCTCGTAGCTCAGTTGGTAATTCATGCGTATAGGGTTGTCTCCTTGTTAGGTCGTGGGTTCGATTCCCACGTTCAGCATTTTACCTTTTTAAACTTTTCTATCTCTTCCTCTTTTCTTTTACATTTGTTTTAAGTCTTTCATACAATACTTCCCTATGTTTCTAGTTGTTGTGCTTGCTTTTCTATTTTTCCCCCTATTCTTTTTCAATATTTTTTAATATTTCACACTTTCGTATATTTTTATTTTCGATCTATTTGTTTATTTAATTTCAACCCCTTTTTCTTTTAATTTCACTTCCCTATATTTCTATTTTGCCATTATGGACTTATGGTACATAGCCATTGTGAATTTGTGATTGGCTTCTTATTCAATCTTCTCCTTCTTTTCTTATCATTCGACCTTTTTACTTTTCCCTTTTTCTATAATTCTAGTTTCTATATTAATTAAATTTTAATTTTCAAGATTTTGTTGATAAAAGAATAACAACTTTTATAATACATTTCTAAACAAACAAAATTTTCACAATGCAATGGTTTCCTTGAATTATTGGTTATAATTGTAACTTGAATTATGACATTAAATTTTATCATACATAGTCATAATTGTCGTACATTTGAAGTTTTCAAACCCATATGTTAATATTTACAATTATAATTGTACGTTCAAATTATTTAAAACTTAGGAAATAAATTGCTCTTTAAAACATTATTCGCTATAATAGATGGTGACCCACCAACTTTGAATTTCTGGATCCGCCATTGCATATAATGTGAAAAAAATTCTTTATTCAAAAAAAAAATATATATATATATATATATATATATATATATATATATATATATATATATATATATATATATATATAATGTGAAAAAAATGAACCGATCATATCGTTTATCATTAAAATAATACTTCTTCCGTTTTTTTAGTTGCATAACTTTCCTTAATTAGAAGTTTCAAATTAGTTGATCACTTTCCTTTTTTGTAAATAATAAATTCTCTTTATCTCTTTCCTAAGTCCATTTTTTTTATTTTCTCTATCTCTCTCATCTCCAAAAATTGTCTAAAAAGTCCCAATTTAAAAAGTGACGCAATTAAAAATACGGAGGAAGTATGATAGCCATATTTTCCAAATGATCGTTGTAAAAATATTGTTCAATTTTATATTAAGAAGAAAAAGTGAATATTTGAAAACTGTAGTAAGATTGCACATAAATATCAAAGTGTAAGGACAAGGACAGAAGTAGGGCCGAGCTAGTAAGCGTTGACGCTTGAAGAATAGAGTAAACGGTAGTTATCTTGTTGAAAAGTAACCAATTAATTAATAATCGTGTAGAGGACTTCCGGGAAGGAACTAGTGTTGACCTAGTAAGCGTTGACGCTTAAATGACTATGGATTAAATGGTTGTTCTCTTGTGAAATATAGAATTTATACATCTGATTAATCAAAAGTTATCATTCCCCTATGGCTCTATATCACAATATATTTAGGTATGTAGGTGAATAAAAAGTAAAGCGGAGTATAATGGAATTGGATTGTGTTGTGAGATAATTAATATTATCGGAAAATATATGTATAATATATTTTAATGTCTTAATATTATTAGGAGAATAATATATTTAAGATTATTTATGTTAAGATATTATTTAGTGAATATATCTCAATATATCTTTTAAAAATATTGTTTCATATCTTATGAGCGTATGTTTTATATAAATACTCTATATGTTGATCAATAATAATAAAGACATTCTATTATCTTTTTCTCACAAATTTGTCAATCTTGGAAGCGTTCACAAAAATTTCCCACCTGCCGCTGAGTTAGAAAATTCAATGGGATAAACCTTTAGCCAAAAATATATAGATTATTTTCACACTTTTGCATGTTGATGCTCTTTAAGGATCTTTGATAATGTTTGTTCGTGATGACTTGATGTAATTACATTATGTGTGGCTTTTGTCACTCTTTGAGAATGAGATCAAGTTTCTTGTGATTTGTGATTTGTGCAGTTGTGCTCCTCGCTCCAATATAATCATGTAAGGTGATTTTCAGTGAGTTTGTGTTGTTGACGAGGTGAAAACAAAGACCTTTGAGTTTTTATTTTTATTTTTTAAAAATAAGCTTTTGAGACAAGATATTTTGGTTCTCCTCGGATCGTGAGACAGGAAATATTGGTTCTCCTTGTATCGTGAGACAGGGTTTATATTGAATTTCCTTGTGCCGTGAGACAAAGGTTTTAACTGATTTGAGTATGGTACATTTTGGCCTTTAAAAAATAAAGGAAATATTGACCAACCAATTATTTTTTTTTTTTTTTTTTTTTTTTTTTTTTTTTTAAGGAATGACACAGTAGAATCATCCTTAAAAGTTTAGATAGAATAAATTGATATACTATAATTAGTTGAATAGAGCATGTATACTAATATAACCTAATTTCATATAGAAAATCCGACAGATTTAATTCAAAGCATAACACTTACACAAGCCAATTCAAACCCTTTTCTGGCTTTGTAAAACGAATTACAAGCAGATTCAAAGGTTCACATAAACAGAATGCTCTCATTGCTATTCAAACACATACATAATTGGAAATCTAAACATGAATACCGAAATGTAACTAGTTCTTATGACAACCACTAAACTGGTGGGGGTCTTGTGCTCCTTCCATTGCTCGTATCCCACATATTTATCGCTGCTTGTACCATTTCCTTGACGAGCTTGATTATGGTGCGCATAAAATGTGCAAGGACCAAAATTACTAAAAAGCAGACCCAAATTATAACAGATATATTTAATACTTTAATAACTGGTTTGTATTTCTTTGGGTCCAGGTCGTTTTGATTATAATCAGTCAAAAAAAGAAGATCACCAACATTTGCTTGAAAGATTATTGAGATAGAGTAAGTCAATGCTGTTGCTATTACGGCAATCCACATGGTTATCATCAAAATACCCACAGAAAGTCGCTTACAAGGAAGGCCGCTTATAAGGAGAAGAATGACAAATAGAGATGAAAACAGTCCGATTGTGTTATAAATTAGCATTCTATTATACCTCTGACTATCCTTGTCTTGCATTATGGAATTGCCTGCTTTGTAGTTATTTTCATTATCATCCTCTTGCCAAACACCTCCTGGAGGATTCACTCCGGTTTGAAAAGCCATTGTTGCTATCAGGGAGGCTACCACCATTAGAGCATTACGCTGCTTCTCTAACCAATCTCGGTGTCTATTTACTGTATTCTTTCTTCTTGATGCTTTGGCACGCTTTAGGGATTTCCAAATCTTAATATCAACCTCTTCTTTCGTACTCCGACTACAAAGATCCTTCGCTGTAAAGCCATTTCTATTGATAGCATTTTTATCCATCTTTGTTTCTAGTAAGATGTCTACTACCTGCATGCATAACAATGAGGAGAAAACATAAGAGAGGGCATGTTAACATTCTTATGCAATCAAACTATTTTTTTGTATGTCCCTGGTTAGGATTTTACAAAGACTCTTTCCGTGTTTTTATAGGTGTTACAATTTGACCAAACACGTATGTTGAGACACGATTTTTTGACCATAATTTTATCTTACTATATGCTAGGAAAATTATTAATACGGAGTATTATGAACGTATACATTGTAACGAATCCAACAATGTATTATACTCCCTCCGTGTTTTAATAAGTGTTACACTTGCTAAATCCGGCCGTTTTTTAATAAGTGTTACACTTCCATTTTTGGCAAAAAACTACATTTAAATATTATATCCCTCTCCTCATGGTCCCCACCTAAACCTACAACTACTTTTTTTATTATATATTTCTTCTCACATCCATTATTTTTCAATAAACTATTAACCCCACTATCTTTCTTTTATAATTTTTTAATACTCTAACTACCCCACTTATCTCTTATTTAATTTAAGTCAATTAAATCACCTAAAACTATGTGCCGGTCAAACTGTAACACTTATTAAAACACGGAGGGAGTACAATTGTTTTTTTTTTTTTTTTTTTTTTTTTAATAATTAGTAAAATAATCAAGTCAAAATCATTATATAAATATTGGAAAAAGTCAAAGTGTAACATTTATTAAAACAAGGAGGAAGTATTCACTACGAGTATATAAAGATTTGAAAGATTTGGGAAAATGATTTCCTTGATGAGTTGTATTCACAGTAAGCAGGAGTAACATAAACATAGGTGTAACACACACACACGCCTAAGCCCACAATTAGAAGACTAATTACACAAAATAAATCAAGCCAATAGAGTACATCATTATACATGAAATACTCTTAACAAAATATTATAGAAAATAAAATAGGCATGTGGAACCTTGTTGGATTAGTCTCAATTATGGATGCCAATGTGTTGAATCCAGTTTGGGTCTAATAAGATTTGGGTGAAGACCTATATCTTAGGAGGTGGATCCGAACCTAAATTTGTTCGGTCTAGAAAAATTAAACCTACATTTAGATCCATTAAGTATAAAGTTTGAAATGGGTCATAAAGGTTGTTGACATGATTATAATCTTCAATTTTCAAATTTTCATCCTTTGTATATTTTTACATATCAAGCTAGATCGGTTAGGTGGAAACCATATATATATTTTTTTTAATTTATAGATCGGATCTGGGTTGTAATTGTAATTATTATACCTAACTAAGAGCAAATAGACCGATTTGATGACCTAGATTCATTGGGTCTTAAATTTTTGGATCCAAATCTATGATCGGCTCTAGAACTCCTTGTCATCCCTACTCTCAACAATTGATGTAAGAGTGTCATATTTTAATAATATGTAATTAGAACGTTAAGAGTCAAATATGTGTATGTATTAATAGATCTGCATGGTCAAACTAGAATACTAGATTCATTAAACGGAAACACTTGGAGTACATGCTTTTCAACATTATTTTGCTTTAACAATGGTCATAATAACCTTAAGTAAATAATTTTTAAATAAACTGATAATTGTTTGAAAGCACATATTTCACAACCGTATGTTTCTTGTTTCTTTTTTTTTTTTATTATTTATTTAAACACTTAGAAAATTTTGTTAGATTCATCTCGATCACAATGTTTACTTCAACTTATAGTACCTCCGATCCTGAAAGTTCGACTCACTTACTATTCATATAAAATAAAATAACTTTAACCACATTTTATGAGCTATACAATATAAATGAATTAGCATGTGAGACTTTATTAGATTCCCCTTATTATAAATAATCCAAATATCAACTTTTTATAATTTTTACTTATACACAACTCGAGTTATTCATGGTCAAAGATGTTCATTGGAGACCGCACAATTGCAAAGTGAGTCGAATTTTCAGAAACGGAGGTAGTATTTATAGTAAAATAACTGTGTCCGGAAATTGTAAAAATAAAATGATGCAATGATAAACAGGAAGAATGAAGTAGAAAGAATTTATGAGTACCCCATGTTGTTTAGCAGCCACTGCTAAGTGTAAGACGGTATTGTCACCACTGTCCTTGGAGTTGAGCAGTTTATCATTATCTGTGAAAGCTATCAAAAACTGAAGAGCCTCTGGCCGATTGTGTTTCACACACAAGTGAAAAACAGTTTCGCCGGCATTAGTCAGCTCCAAAGCTGTCTGTGGCTTCGCCCGAAGAAGCACTGCAAGAACACCAGTATGTCCATATATGGCGGAAATATGGACTGCGTTCCTACCATCAATATCCCGAGCAAAACACATTTTAGGATTTGCTTCTAACAACACATTGACTATCTCCAAGTGCCCTTTTGCCGAGGCCATGTGTAGTGGTGACCATCGTTTTGATTGATCAAGCTCTTCTGCTAAATCTGGCTTGTGTTGTAGAATCATTTGCACAAATCCTAGGTGACCAGCTTTTGCGGATACATGTAATGGAGAGCAACCATTTTGAGCCATGTACCGGTTGCGATCTAGGATGTGTGGATCTTCTAGGAGCAAATCGTTCAACAAAGTTACTTCTCCTTCGAGTGCAGCATCTTGTAATCGTATATCACGATTAGCAGCTTCATGTAATGGGGTTACCTTGTCTGTTAACTTTTTAATCATGTAAGAGGGTAGGTTTTCCTGAAGAACACTCTGTTTAGGTTGTCCTTCCATCTTAACTTTGTTTGGTTTTTTGAAAGGTTAAGGGGTTGAAATTTTAAAATGAGATTGAAGAGATAAATTATCTTGAACTTTATGAATATGTACATATATATAAACACTCAAGTTGCAAGATAGTTGTCTCTGTACAACTAACCTTGTACTCTTCACCATCAATTATACCACTCTTTTAAGTGCATCAGTGTGACATCTACATAATTTTAAAAAGACGAGCTGAATAGAGTAAAATAAATGTGTGACTGGGATACCTGAAATATTGAAAAATACTCCGTAATTAAAAAAAAAGGTGAGATATTGAGTAAATAATAATAATAAAAAAAAAGTAGTGAAAGTGGGGTTGGTAGGAGAGAGAAATAAAAAATAGTAGTGTGTCCTTACTAAATGAGGAAATGTTGTAATTATTTTGAAAATTTTTATCCAATATAAAATAATAATATCTACAATGCATACATAATTTTCGAAATTTTATTCAATATAAAATAATTATATTTTGTGAAACTAGAAAATAAAAAAAATTATGCAAATGAAACTAAAAATTTAATAAATAAAAATAAATGTTTATTATACTATTTTATACCCAAAATAAAGTAATATAATTTATTACTTGGAGGAAAAAATATATAATTATTAAAAATTATGATAGTCATATTTCAAACTATAACTATAAAATATTAAAGAGATAATAGTTTATTAAAAGTTAATATAAATGTAATGAATGTGGATGGAAAGAAATACAAGTACTCTGTAATAATAATAATAATAATAAAGTTGTAGTAGGTTTGACTAGGAACTTAAGAGAAGAGATATATATAATATTAAAATGTAACCTCAACGAATAAGTTTAACACTTAAAATATGGCTGCGTTTGAGAAGTGTAATAATTAAAAAAACACAATATGTATTACGGATTACCCGTTGTTTTGTTTGGAGCATGCGGTATTGTGGTGTACGGAGATATACATGCATCATGACTTGGTGGTTGTAGTACGTTCGTCCGGTAGGGACATGTATTAATGTAATAATACAAACAAACAAAGCAGCCAATGTAGAAACATTGGACTGATCAACTAAATTTACGGGATAAATGGTGGACGTACTGTCTTTTGGAGTGAGTGGTCGGTCTATCACTCATGAATTATAAATTACAGTACTGATCGTTAGACTCAACTTATCCCATGCGTATGGTGGTTCACTGGTTCAAGGTCAAACCACATCAGATCAGATCGTAGACAAAAAAATTACGAGCCTACATTACTTGAGAGTGTCTTCAGGCCACTACATTTTTGTTGCACACTTGCACAAAATATGAAATGAAGGTAGTAATCCTGTAATTTTCTTTTCTTCCTACAAGATGATATGGAGTAGTGGAGTACCATGCTATCAATTCACAAGTTTTAAGATGTATGAAATAAATACGTTGATGATAGAGCTTCCGACAGGCAATTAGTGCGTAGTAGTATAGTACGCATCTTAGTCGATGGTGGAGCCTTGTTCATACAGGTCAAAGTCGTCTTATTTGCTGAGGAACAGTTGCTCTTTGTACATAGTACGTCTCATTTATAAATGCAAGGGAGTGTCTGTTAAACGTCTCATTTAGCAATATGGAGTGTCGTTACGTTGAAAGGTCTTGGATAATAATTTAGCAGTATGGAGAGTCGTCAGGGGCGGAACTAGCTTAGGTCCAAAAAAAAAAAAGAAAAAAAAAATTCAAAATCAGGTTTTTTTACTTAAATAAATCAATATAAAGTGTAAAACTATATTTTAGTTTACAAATTCTTAAATAGACCTGGTTCACAATAATTTATTGTGGATCACTAACATTAGAGACACTATGATATTTATTAATAAATAAAAAAAAGTCACTATTTTAAATTAAAGGATACAATATTGAAATAAAAGTCATTGTGACATTATAAAAGTTATATGAGGTTACTTTTTTTATGAAATTTTTAATATATTGGTCAATATGAATAATAAAGGTCAATATGTTAAAATTTAGGTCACTATTGTTCAACATAACTTGCAATTTAGATTCACAATAACATTAAAGGTCACACAAGTTTTAATATAGGTTACTATTTTAAAAATAAGTAATATATATATATATATATATATATATATATATATATATATATATATATATATATGTCACACAAGTAATAATAAGTAATAACAAGTTTTAAAAATAAGTAATAACATTAAAGGTCACACAAGTTTTAATATATATACATGAAGAATGTAAAGTAACAAACTTGCTAAAGCTAAGGATATAAAGATTGGACGACACACATTAGTGAATTTTGACTATCATACATGATTGCTTGTATTTGATACATTTGTAGTGGTTTTTGACCATGGATAGCACCTCTTGAAAAACTTTATTTTTGATTGCCTCTTTCGCCAACTAATCTTCTTCCATATAAATTGCACAACATGTCCAACGAGTATAAAAACCATTAACCCTAGCCATGCTAAGAGAGAAATCGTTATAGCAGCCCAAATTCCGCCGTCTCGTGAGTTAGATTAGATACCGAGAACATGTATGTAAATGTTGTTGCCGTGACAGAAATCCACAAGGTTATCCTTAAAAATGTCAAGAAATTTCACTTGCATGGAAGGCCCCTGATAAGGAGGAGGATGACAGTTAGCGATGATATTAGTCCTATTGTGTTACTAATTAGTGCAAAACTATAAGCAGTATGTTTACTACTAGAAAACAGTCAATCAACGACGGAAAAAATACGTCGGAAAACCCTGAAATTCCGTCAGAAATGCCCATTTTCGACGGAATTCCGTCGGAACGCACCCTCGGAATACACTTTGTAGGAATTTCGTGATATTCCTTCGGAAATTCCGTCGGAAAGGTCTATTCCGACGAATTATGTTCTGTCGGCGTTTTTGTTGACTTTAAGTGAAAATCCGTCGTAAGGTTCCGACGGAATTTCCCGTCAAATGAGGTATATTCCGACGGAAAATTCCGTCGGAAAAGTAAATAAAAAAAATAAAAAAAAAACCACCAATTTCCCCACCAAGATCCACCCCGCCACCAGCCCACACCAGCCCACACCACTCACCACCCATTTTCCCACACCTAGATACCTAACCCTACCCAGACACCCCACCCAGACCTAGACCCACCAAACCAAACCCAGACCCATCTCCCCACCCAAACACCCTACCCAACCCAGACACCCCACCCAACCCAGACACCTAATCCCACCCAGACACCCCACCCAACCCAGACACCCCACCCAACCCAGACACCCCACCCCACCCACACCCCACGGACCCTACACCACCCAGCCCCCCCTTCCAAACCTCCCACATCCACTAGTCCAAACCTCCCTCACGCCACCCACCCACCCTGTCTAGCCACCACCAACAGCCCAACCCAAATAAAAAAAAAAATCAATTGGAAAAATAAAAATCGAAAAAATACAAATCGATTCGAAAAAATGAAATCGAAAAATACAAATCAAAAAAATACAAATTGAGATCCAAAAAAAATACAAATAGAAAAATGAAATCAAATAAAACAACTATGTATACATTTAAATTATCTTCTGAAATTAATAAAAATCCGGAAAAAAAATTTAAAAAAAAAACCTAGATCTTGATGTCGGTCGTTGTCGCTGGTTATCGTTAATGTTGGCCTTTGCTGCTGGTTGTCATTGATGTCGGTCGAAGAAGACGAAGATGTTGTTGGTGTCGTTGATGTGGTGGCAACCGTGTTGTTGCGCCGTTCTTGATGTCGCCGTTCTTGATGTCGTTGAGAAGGGAAAGAGAAGGAATGAATGAAGGAGATAAGGAGAGAGAAAGAAAAAGGGGATGTTACGGGAAAGAGAAAGAGATAAGAAGAAGGGAAAGAGAAGGAGAAAGGGAAGATGCAGGAAAGAGAAAAGGGGAAAGACAGAGAAGGAAGGAAGGAGATAAGGGGAGAGAAAGAAAAAGGGGAAAGAGAAGGAAGTTACTAGAAAAGAGGCGGAATTTAGAAGGAAGGAGATTAGGGTTTCAATGTTTAAAGATTTTTTTTTTCTTTGAATAAGGTTTCGACGGAAATTTCCGACGGAATATTAATCCGTCGGCATGATTGGGATTTCCCAGGGAATATTCCGTCGGAATTTAATTTCGTTGATAACTTAACTTTCCAACGGAATATTATGTTGGAAGCCTATTTTTCCGAGGGAATTAAATTCAGTCGCAAGTATTCCGACGGATTTTCCGTCGTAACGTACCTTTTCCGACGGAAATTTCTGACAGATCCTAATTCCATCGGAAATTACAAATATTCCGACGGAATATAGGTCCGTTGGAACGATTCTGTCGGAAAACAGCCTATTTCTAGTAGTAACCTGCATCATGGCCAATATACATTCCTGTCATTTTATCGAATGTACCTGAATAGGCTAAATCATCCTGCCAAACGCCTCCTAGGGGATTAATTCCGGCTTGGAAGGCCATGGTTGCGATCAAGGATGCCACCACCATTAGGGATGTCCGCTGGTCCTCCAACCAAGCGCGATCTTTCTTGGGTTTTAGTGCTTCCTTTGCGGTATGCATTGGCGCGATTGAGGTGTTGCCATATCTTGTCATCTTATATCACATCCTTCCGACTTCGCTTATGAATATCCATAGCTGACAATCCTTTTTTGCTTATAGCATATTTGTTTTTTTTTTTTTGGGTGTCCAAGTAAAAATTCTACCATCTGCATATCAAATTGATAAGCTTTAAATTGTATCAATTTACTTCCTCTGTTGAATATTATCTGCAACTAAAGTACATTTTACGGTTACCAAAGCAATTTTTAAAGGGCAAAGATTAGAGGGAGTGGGGGAAGATAATTAAAGGTAACTAGGAGAGAGAAAGTAGGAACCCCACACAAAATTTCTTGTGGGAAATTTAGGAAGTGGAGGGCCCTAACATTTTCCCTCCCAAATTTTCACCAAAATTCACAAAAATTTGAATTTTGGTGCATTTGAATTGTCAGCCGAAAAACAGAAAGCTGCCAAGGGGGAATGTACAACTCTCCTATTTCATTTATGAGGCCTTTAAAACCAGCCTCCATAACATTTTGCAATTAAAGCTTACATTCGAAATGTTTTTCCAAAAACCGACAAAGTTTAACCACATATTCAAGCACTTCCTAATCTGAATTGTTCACAAAAAATTTCCCTAAACTACAATTAGTGCTGCACAGCTTGAATCTTCATTAGCCACCACCCACCACTGACTTCAGATCATATGCACACAGGACAACATCTTCTCCTAAAAAAAAAAACCAGAGTCTGCCCTTTTGCATCTTCTAAAATCTGAACACACACATACAACACAGAAAAAATGGCACATTCTGATGAAGACTTTTTATATGTTGACCAACTTATATTAGAGGAAGCACAGACAGAAGTTTACTATGATGAACATGAAGGAATGCAAGATGTTGATTTCGAGGAATATGAATCAGAAAATGAAACAATGCAAGAAGAAGAACCACAACCAGACAATGGACAACAGGGCACATATGGAAATTATCCAAACCAGAACATTGAACATGGGGCACAACAAAGGACTCCAGCTGCCAGTAGAAAGCAGCTTACTTTGCAAAAGAAAAGGCAAATTGTTGATGCAATGCTTGTCACAATGCAAAATGGCATGTTACCTAAGGGATTCATGAAACATTTATCAATGTCATTCAGTGTACACAAGTTAACAATCACCAAAGTTTTTGCTGACATTAAAAAACAGATGGCAATGGGGAATACAATTGATGTCAGGACTAAGAAGTATGGCAGAACAGGTCCTTAGCCAAGGGAATTTTCAGACGCATTCCTACAATCAATCCCTCTGTATCTTAGGCAGACAGAGAGGAGTTATGCAGCTTCCCTGAAGATTTCTCATGTAACTCTACACAATCTAAAGAAAAAGGGAAGGCTAAGAACACATACATGCAGCACCAAGCCTGCACTCACATCAGACCACAAGGTTGCTAGACTAAAATAGGTGCTATCACATATAAATCCAGTCATAGCAAATGAAGACCCCAGTTTTGTTAGTATGAACCATGTCATACACATAGATGAGAAATGGTTCTATCTCAATCCTGACAAGAGAAGATTTTATCTTCTGCCAGGTGAGGAAGACCCATATATGGCATAACAGTAAAAAAGATTCAAGTTAAAGGCTATGTTAATGGCTATAATTGGGAAGTCATTATATGACACGGATGGGGGACTCATAGAGACTTATACATGATGGGGAGTATGGGAAATTCCCATTCACTGTGAAAGAGGTAGCTAAGAAATCAAGCAAAAACAGAGCAGCAGGCACTTTGGTCACCAAGGCACTGCAGAATGTGAATAGAGATGTTATTAGGGAGATGCTGCTGACAAAAGTCATTCCAGCAATTCAGTCAAAATGGCCAGAAACTCTGCCCAAAATGTTATCATATAAATGGACAATGCAAGGCCTCACCAAGTTCCTCAAGATGAAGAGTTCATGGCAGCAACCACAACAAATGGGTTTAATATTGAACTTGTATTCCAACCAGCACAATCACCTGATCTAAATGTGTTGGATCTAGGCTTATTTAGGTCAATGCAGTGATTGCAATATCAATCTTTCCCTAAGGACCTAGATGAGCTAGTTGATAAGGTTATTGAATGTTATAACACATTCAAGCCCCAAGTGAAAAAGTACATTTGGGTGACCTTACAAAGATGCATGATCAAAATTCTCAAGGCACAAAGGGGGAAACAAGTAATAAATACCACACATGAACAAGAAGAAACTTGAAAATTTAGGAATTCTACCAGATCAAGTGACAGTGAGGAAGGAAGTTGTGTTGGATGCTGTGGAATACCTAGACACCATGTTTAGGCCAGCCAGTCAAGGGACTCAAGGTGCAGCAGAAGACATTGAGGTAGATGCAGATTAGGGGAACCATCAAACCACATACAAGGAAGGTGAACTACATTGACTGCCACACATAACCACTTACTTAGATGTTTTTGTGTTTTGTTTCTTTTTTTAAGCTTTTATGTGCATGAATAGGTGGTTAGGTGTCTTTTGTTTATTCTGATGAAGCAACCATGTAAGGCAGTCAAATGTATGTTCTAGTTTACCCCCCTTTTTAATGGAATGATAATGAAATTGTGTTATTATGTGTGGCCAAGTAATCCATCAGTAGAGCTAATCACATTGTTGAATACACACTAGTAGAAAAAATGAAATAGGCACCCCCCCTTTAGCACCGGTTCTTGAAAACCGGTGCCAAAAGAAATGGGCGGGATTGAAAAATTCGGAGTTGGCACCGGTTCCAACCAAAACCGGTGCCAATCATTTAATTAGCATCGGTTCAAACCGGTGCCAACTTATTATAAAAAAAAATAAGTATGACATAGAGTTGGCACCGATTCGCCTTAAATCGGTGCCAACTATGTTAATTAGCACCGGTTCAAACCGGTGCCATATTTGAGAAAAAAAACCTGGGTTAGGTTATTGCGTCTTTCTTTTTCAATTCCTTTTCCTTTCTCCTTCTACCTTTCCCCATTTCCCTCTTAACTCCACTACTTCCACCACTACGCACCCCTTTCCACCGCCACCACACTCTATCTTCATTCTTCACGGCATCAAGGCAATGTGACGGTGCTCGCGATTGGTTGTTGGATTTTTAGAGTTCCAGGTGGCAATTTGATTGAGTTTTTGTTATTTTAGTTTTGAAATTAGGGCTTTGGTTGATTGTGGTTAGATGGATTTTTGGTTGTTTTTAGATGGATTTTTGGTTGTTTTTAGATGGATTTGTTGTGGGATGAAATTCGTTGGTATTTTTGTTGTGGTTTTGAATACTTGATTGGTTGAAGTCTTCACTCTGGTCTACGCCTCCTCCGCCCACCGTCCGCCCTCCGTCGCCGGTTCGACCTCCATCGCCACCTCCTCCGCCGCGGGACTCCAATGGCACTTCCACTTCCTCTGCTTCTCCTTCTCCTTCTCCTATCCCCGAGGAGATCTCTCGCCATGCTCAGCTCTCACTCGAGGTTTCTCTCTCTCTTCTTTCTTTTTCAATTCAATTCATCACCAACAAATCCTAACCTAACCTAATTTGTTGAATTTGTAAAGCTGTCGAAGAAGATCATCAACATCAGAGAAATCAGGAGGTTAGCATCCATGGGTCTTCCTGATGCTCCTGCCATCCGCTCTACTGTCTGGAAGGTTTCTGTCTCGCTTTCTATTCATTTCATACTTTGAGTTGATTACTTACTTAATCGGAATTGAAATACCTAAAAATATAAATTTCAATTGCAATTGGCAGCTTCTGCTGGGGTATTTGCCCAGTGATCGAGCAATGTGGCCCTCTGAATTAGCCAACAAGAGGTCTCAATACAACCATTTCAAGGATGACCTCTTGATGTCTCCCGTATGTCCTCTTCTCTCTTTTTTTTTCTTTTTTTTTTGTCTTTGTTTCCTTTCACTTTCGATTTTGCTTCGCACTTCTTTCATGTTAATTATTAGTTTAATGATCAAATTTAGGGTGCATCAAAAACCACCTCTAACAGAACCTCTTAACAGATTATGTTTATGAAATTTGGTCTACCGTTTACCCAATTGTAGATAGTAGATATAGTCTCATAAGAGGAATCGCGGTGATGTTGTATTATGATATTATATGCATATATGGCTTTCTGTTGAGGTTGAGCATAGGATATTAGGATCACTGTTCTAATGCTTTAGGTGATTCTAGTTACTATGTTGATCATGCAGAAAAGTATACGCAACTTGTTGCTAAGAATTTTTAAGTTTGTGTTATGTTGTTATTGATTGACTGCTGTCTTATTTATGCGCCTTCTGCCATTGCTTGAGGCTCTTGGGAGAATAAGTTAAGTGGCCTAATATTGTAATGTCAGGTTCTTGCTGAAAAAGCTTATCTTGTGGGTGTGGAGCAAAAAGGTATTAAAGTGGATTCATTTGGAATAGAAGAATCTCTGAAAGAATTGGCTCAACTAGCTGACACAGCAGGTCTTCAGGTTGTTGGCTCTACTTATCAAAAGTGAGTATGTCGTGGGTTTTTCTATTGCATAATGTGGTTACGCTATAAGTTGCAATGTGCATATACTTAAGACAGTACAATTAGCTAATTGGAGATTTATATTATCTGTGCATGCCCTAAATCTTCCAGTTAACATGTTATGTATCTCTGTCACTCTGTGTGTGACTGTGAAAGTTGGGGAAGGGTTGGAGAATTGAATGGGGGAGTGTCGCTTAAAACGATAATGTAACTCTTTTAATTAGAACTTAAGGGGTTTCAGTGAGTTGATTTTGTATCCGTTGTAATTCTTTGCAAGTGAAAAGCACTTGTAACTTAAGGCATGTTATGTGTCATCTGGGAACATGGCCTCCAAAGCAGCTACAGTTCAATTAAAAGCCTTAGTACCTCTGTTTTAACTTGTTTAGATAGAGATTGTTAAACAAAACTCAGATTACTTTACCAAGTGTGTATTGACTTATGAGTTTTTGTCATATAGTTTACATATGTCTTCTATCAAATACATTTCTCCTTTATTTTTGCTTTGTGAGAACTGCTGGTCTGCATGGTAAAGAACTTCAACACCTGCTGTATGAATTAGGCTTGCTGCTCCAAATCCAAGAACATATATTGGCTCAGGCAAGGTTTGTGAGATCAAGAATGCAATTAATGCATTTGATGTTGAAACAGTGATATTTGATGATGAGCTCTCACCAGGGTAAGAATGAAACACTTTTTTATTCAAAAACTGACAGTTGGTGTACATCCATTGTCTAGCTATCAACATTTACTCATATGAATTTATTGCTGATTGTGAAACACATCATATGCACGTGACGGATATGATGTGTTTGTAGCAGCTGTTTCTAGTTTGTTCATCTTGCAAAACTTTCCTTCTGGTTAGTTTTCCTTGCCAATTGTCGTCTGGTTTATCTCTCAGTATCTCTTAGCAACAACTAAATGCTTGTTTTGGTAAACAACTTTGTGTAAGGTTCTTTTCCCCTCTTGATTATGCTCAAAGTATGTGGTTCTATTACTTCTATATATGTCTGGTAATTTATGATGTTTTGGTTCCTTCCCTTGGTTGCTATGTGAGCCAGAGGTGAAGAGCTGTAATTGCAGTATTTGGTTTCCTGTAGATTACGCTCCCCTGCTTATCATCTTTTGATGGTTTCATTGATTGTTGATAAGCTGTAAAATTTGGTACATGCCTAGTGTGTGCAACTGTAATTGTTTTCAGAATTCTGGTGCCTGCTGTGACTGTTAGTTGTCACTTTTGTTTTTTCGATTAGATTTGGCTCACCTGAATCAAATTACTGGTCCTTGTTTGATCTTGCTTTTGTGATTTTTATGTGCCCAAGAGCTCTTGTGCTTCTGATGTCCATATCTGCATATTGTGTAAGTGAAGTTGTCTCTCATCCATGATCAAGGTTAAGGCCTTTTTTTTTTTTTTTATAGTTATTATTATTATTATTGGACACTTTTTGTTATCTAAAGGCGAAGACTGATCAGTGGGATTATTATTATTATTATTATTATTATTATTATTATTATTATTATTATTATTATTATTATTATTATTATTATTATTATTATTATTATTATTATGATTATTATTATTATTATTATTATTATTATTATTATTATTATTATTATTATTATTATTATTAATAATTTTTTTTTTTAAAACAATATCATCTTAATGGCCTTGTGGAGTTTTGAACTTGCAAATTATAATATCTTTCTTAATCATTGTAGGTCCTGGCACATGCTTGATGCTTACTGTAGCATATCTTTTTTTTTTTTTAATCTAATTATGCTGCAGGCCACCATAGCCTTCTGGCTCTCATGACCAGTCCCAAGCTGGAGTTCTAGTGGTCATGTGACTCAAAACTTGTAGGGTATGCCAAGAAAACTTGTTTGTCAACATCAAGGTTAGCCTGTTGGGCAGTTTTTGTTTCCCTTTAATTGGTGCCCACACCTAGGTTTTCTGTCACTGACAAACACTACTACATTTAAGAGCTAATACAACGGCTTTTTTTGTTGTATTAGGTGTCAAAAACCGTTGTATTAGACCTAATACAACGGTTACCAACCGTCACATTTGCAAGGGTTGGATTAGGTCTAATACAACGGCAAAATAGACCTAATACAATGGATTAAGCAATCCGTTGGATTAGGTAGATACCTAATCCAACGGTTTCTTCAATCCGTTGGATTACGTTCCCTCTTGTTTTTTTGGGAATAATTGGGCCTAATCCAACGGATTCATCTACCTAATCCAACGGATTTTTCGCCCAATCCGTTAGATTAGGTCCTTTATTTATTTTTATTTTTTTTACATCCGTTGTACTAGCCCCTTTTTTTTTTTTTTTTTTTTTTAAATACCGTTGTATTAGCCCCCTTTTTTTTCTTTTTGTTTTTTAAAACCGTTGTATTAGGTAAATTTTTTTTTTTTTAAATCTATAATAATAAATATAAATTATATTAGTATATTTATAATTTAAATAAACAAAGTACATATAATATATCTTCGTTGCATTACAAAATAAACGAAGTACATATAATATATATTCGTTGCATTATAAAAGTAAACGAAGTGTCAATACTAACTAATTATAAATGAAAGTTCACTAGCTTATAAATTAACAAACGTTTAATTTGAAAACTCTCTAGAAGTTGCAATAGATACATAAAATCAACATTAGTCCTTACTTCATTCATCCCGGGGTAGCTCATCGTCATCAAGCACCTAAGTAAAAAAAGTAATGCATAAGCCACAATACCAACAACAATAACAACACCAATTGGGGAAATTAAATAACGCACAACAACACACAAATCAGTCATCAAAGTACAAAATATACAATAAGAGAACAAACATCAGACATCCTTGGCAAGATATCATAATTTTAACAGTTTTCCACATCCAATGGTAAGTGAAATCAAACAAACAAAAGACATCAGAAGGCTATATCAACAGTTTGAGCTAATGCTATGTTTAAACAGCTCGAAGTTGTTAAATACCAGGAACATATTAATGTAGAATGCTGTAAAGATTTAAGCAATACTTGTACGCAGTATAGTATTTTTACAAGGGCCTCGGCCCCCTTGGGATAAAACAAAGCTTCAGGCTAAGAATTACTTAGAGAGATTGATTACTTTCTGACAGAAAGAAGTCATCTTGAATATTGGAAGATAAATAAAAGGGGAGAAACTATCATCCAAAGATAAAGGTTTTATGAGATTCCTCAGGAATCCAAGTTATCAAAATGGAAACCCACTTCCAGGATTTAATACATCAAAGAGATAAAAATAGAAGTTAAGGCATTTTAGATGTCTCACATGGGAGACAAGATCCAGCATACGACATTAATTATCGCACACCTGATTGTTATGCTTGGGGAATGCTAGAGGGAGATAAGGAGTGTAATGATGCAAGTTGTGAGGCGTCTATATGGGCAAACTCAGCATAACTACGCCAGCCCCTTCTATAGTAGGCAGGCAGGCACGTAGGCAAGCAAGCAGGCAAGCAGTCAAGCAGGCAGGCAAGCTTTCAGTCAGGCAGGCAAGCAGTTAGTCAGGCAGGCAAGTCAAGCAGTCAGTCAGTCAGTTAGTTAGTCAGGCAGGCATGCAGTCAGTCAGTCAGTCAGGCAGGCAGGCAAGCAGTCAGTCAGTCAGGCAGTCAGTCAGTCAGTCAGTCAAGCAGTCAAGCAAGCAGTCAGGGGAAGTTTAGAAATTAAAGTTTAGAGCAGAGAAGTGCAGATTATACCTGATTAAATGATTTTGAAGATTGTCCACTTTGGGCAGTATTTCGATTTGGTGCACTAGATGCATCATGCGGAGTCAATTGCTGCAGAGTACTAGGAACCACAAGATTAATCCCGGGGTTCACCTCGCGAATCGAATCCAAAACTGCAGCAGTGATGGTAGGTGCAATTTCTTGGACTAATTGTGTTTTTATGCCTACCAGGAATTCCTCCGGGAGTATGTAATTTGACTTTGTATCTTTGTTCTTCAAATCACTCTTCTTCACACCCGAGCCATATAGATGCAAACGACTTTTGTGTTTAGGAGGTGGAATCACTTCACTGTAAGGGTCATTGCATACATTACCATCTTCTTGTGATTGTGCTGACTCCAAAGCATCAATTTTGTCCTGTTTAGGCAAACATAGTAATATGTTACTAATTATCGAATAACTAACAATATTTAACTAATTATCGAATAACTCACAATATTCTCTTTTGCTTTTTCAAAGCTGCTAATGTATGTCCTTTCAGCACTTCTTTTTCTTGATTCCTTGTAAACCTTTGCTTGAGAAGGTTCTTTCTTCTCTGGATCTTGTTGTTGCTATATATATGTAAATCATAATATATGAAATTAGAATAAAAATATATGCAACATGCCTATAATTTAGATTTTAAAAAATGTACTTACCAACTCATGGCGTAAAATAGCATATGATTTGCGTCCCAAAGTGTGCATATCATCTGACATTAGACGATTGCTTTTGTTGCTGTCGCTAATTGCCTAGGGAAAATCAGAAACCACCATTTAATTCAAAATTAAACACATATTAGATAAAATTATTCGAGAGAATTAGATTAGAATCAATATACAGTACCTTCGCCTCATCAGTATGCCAATATTGTAGAAGATCTAGGAACATCTGATCGGAGATTGTATCTGGTTTATGTTCCCACCTTAAATCATCCGTATCATATGCATAGAAGTGTTTCTTCTTGATTTGGCATTTATAATATTTCCAACAACTATTTACAGCATCCATCACCCAATTTAACCCGGCATGGGGGACCATATACTTCTCCTGTTCAAGCTAAAACATTAGTAACGTGTGGAGGTGTACGTGTAATGCAACTAAGACAGTATCATTGTATACTACCTGGACATAATCCAATATCTTATCAAGTGTCATTGCCTGGGGAAGAAGGACCCGGAATTTGTAGTGCTAACATCAAATAGTCAGGCTTCATAATCATCCAAGGAGGCAAGTTGTAATTGATCAACATAACTGGCCAAGTACTATGTACAATACTCATTGAGTTGAACGGGCTGAAGCCATCTGTGGCTAGTCCTAGCCTCACATTGCGCGGGTCATCAGAAAACTCTTTGTACAAGGAATTAAATTCCCTCCAAGCTTGACCGTCAGCTGGATGATGTAAAAGATGATCAGTTTCACGCCCATCCGCATGCCAAGTCATGTATCTCGCCGTCTCTTGACACATAAATAGTCGTTGAAGCCTTTTCTTTATCGGAAAGTACCTAAGAATCTTTTGAGGAATTCTATAGGTCTTTCCCTTACCATTTTCTATGTCATCCTCTTTGTCCTTTGATTTCCATCTTGGTGTTTTACAAACATGGCAGCTTGTTGCATTTTCATGCTCTTCCCAATATATCATGCAATCGTTTGGACATGCATCAATCTTTGTATAATCCAACCCCAACACTTTCAAAACACTTTACGCTTCATTGAAAGAAGTTGGCAACTTTGCATCAGGCAACACCTCCCTTATAAGCTCCAATATATCTCCAAATGCGGCATTGGTTAGATTATGATCACACTTCAAAATAAAAAGTCGAATCATGAAGGAAAGTTTTGAGTGATTTTTGGAACCAGGATACAATTCTTCTTGCCCTTCTTCAACTAACCTCAAAAACTTTTTTGCATCATCATTTGGCCCCTCTCTAAAAGCATCACGTGCATCATGCAACAACCTCACTACGTCATCGCTAGATTCATTTGGGATGGACCCTTCATCATTATCCAAAATAGTTTCTTCTCTTTGGATATTGAACCCTAAATCTGATAACTTATCCGATCTTGGAACAAAACCATTACAAATTAAATGGTCTCTCACCACACCTTCACACCGCCAAAAACGATAATGACAAATTTGACATGGACAACAAATTTGATTTCCTTGAGACTTAATAGCAAAAGCCCTTTTGACATATTCGTCGACTCCTTGTTCATATTCATCGCTCCATTTGGCAAACATCCACCAATTCTTAGTTCCACCTTCCATTCCTTAGGGTAAAAATAGAAATTAACAGTGTAAATAGGTGCCAAAGGATAAAGTCGCATAACCTGTACAACTCTCATTATTTTTCATGGAGGTGCAGCACAAAGGTGATCAATGAACTACTCTATCCCAGGCACTAAATACACCCCTTCTAGATAAGGAAGTGTTATTGTCAAACCGCTAACATATAATGCAGGAAAATTACCAAAACACAAGATGAACACCAATCTAGCCTATACTAACATAGTGTGTAAGCAGACTCGGAATTAATGACAGGATACAGAGTTATAGACATTAATTGGGTTTTACACATATTCCCTATATGAGTAAAGATTAGAGAGTTTTAAACACAAAAAATTCATGGTGGCCAAGGGAACAACGTTGCACCCACAGGTGGGACTTAAATTACATATTGTCCATTCTTCATTAAATCCAAGGACCTTAAATCAATACTATAGCAAAACACTACTTAAAAACACCAGAAAATGCCAAAAGAATTACAAAAAAAACATTATTTGCATCAAAAAACATCGTAACATTCTACAAAAACAGGGCCAGTTTTCTGGGGAGGGGAGATATTATAGGGGACAAAAGGGTATATGGGTTAATTTGTGGTCTTTTCTGTAAATGATTTCATGAAAGTTTGGAAATTAGTGTCCCATTTGCAGCAATGATATATGTACAATCTTGCATGTTATATCTTCAAGAATTTTATTTATTTAAAGCTTTAATGTGTTTAAGTTTGTCATCATCTGCTTAAATTAGCTCAGCAAAACTCAGGAGAAAATTGTTTTACCAAAAGTACTTAAATTTATAGCAGATCAACATAATGAAGATATAACAAGCAATTACTATGACTAACACAGTATGCTACACTATTGCCTCAAGTCTACTAGCTTGAAATATCAAGAACTTGTGCCCTCGCTATGAACTACGAGTACAAATACATACAGCCTTCCTGCACTGAACATGATTGAAAATGACAGTAACAAAATTAGATGAAAATCAGACACAAGCATGCAGTAATCAGTTTAGTTGTTCACTTACGCTTAGAAATTCAAATATGCACTTATCATATCCTCTCAAGAGTATGAAACTACAATTACTGAACTAATTTACAAAAAGTGAACTAGTTTCTCCGAGTCAATAGTTAGTTAGAGAATGGATCACTTAGGTGTAACAACAGCACACAGGGTCGTGGTTAGCTAGCAAATCGATCACTTAGGTGTTGATACTTGCTACAACACAGGGATTCGCAGCACAATTCAATTAGCAGATCATGTTAGTGTGGAGATAACCCATTGCTGCTAGCCTGTTATGATCATAGACACCTGCTCATGCAATCCTCAGGTTTCTAAGAAAAATAGGAAAGAGATATTTGATGTTGACTGAATGCTCTAACTACAACAGAAACGCACCTATCAACCACCTCCAAATCATCATTCCTCAATTGACAGAAATGTGAGTCTACATTCAGGTTTTTCCTCCAGAAAAGAAACTATGTGTCTATGTTAGGTGTCGAATTTAAGTCCATCCTACAAAATTACTAAGCACTTAAAATATAGATGACTTCATATTACAAAATCAACAATGGCAACAACAACCACTAAGTAGTACCTATTACAGTTTTGATGGGAGTGTGGAGAGGTCTACATTGATACGACTCCACCGGTAAAGGCATACCCTTAGTCGTAATCAAGAAACAGAAACTAAAAAAGAGACTCCACCAAGGTAGTGTTTCAAACAGGTAGTCATGTCCATTTTCTTCTAAACAGGCAGTCATGTCACTCCTAGTTGACATATATTTAGACCCGGAAAAGCACATCAGCATTGAAATTGCTCTTCACATTATAAAATGGGAGTAATGCACATTATTATTAACCCAACAATAATTAAATTAATGACATTTAGTGTTATGTATAATATATAAGAACATTATCAAATAAATAAAAATAACGTAAGAGTACTTGATAAAGAGTTTTCACATTAAACTATCATATAACTGTACTTAATTGCCAAATTACTACTTCCAATCACAAGAAGAGATACTTTTTAAAAATACGAAGTAAATTTCAACAAAGTAATTACACAATTTAAACATGGTGATTGGTGAATGTCACAACCAAATGCTACAATTTTGGTGCTTACATACATGTACATACCTTTCTTTCATTGTTATTGTAGTTTGATCCCTTGATCAATGTAACTCCTAGATTTATGAAGAATAAAAGAAGAACAAAATTGTTCATTTTTCTACTCTCAGTCTCTTACTTTTTTCTCAATACACATACAATCAGTAAAAGTGAGAGGATTTGTTTATGACTAACTAAGTATTGATATTGATTAAAAAAAAAATGGAATAATTGTATTTATAAGAGTTGACGAGGCAGCTGAGTAGAGTTAATCTTGGCTTTCATTCAGGATCAAAAATAATAATAATAAAAATAATTTACTAAAATGAAGAAATCAGTCTCCCCTTGCACATTGGAAGGACTGTTTCAGAAATTGATATCTGCTAAAAATCAGTATTAATTTGTTGAATGTGGCCCATAATCTAATCTAGCTAATACTCCATATTATCCGTAGCTGCAGGCTGCGCTGAACATTGCACTGATGCAAAAAAATAACCTTCGAAGCCACTAAAGACATTCGGTGACATTCAATGGGAGATAACTAAAATTTCACAACAAAAATCAGCTAACTTCAACAGGTATATGTCAAGTATTCCCAAATAAACCCCCCAAAAAAAAAATTAGGGTTCATAAATCGAAAAACCACCCCAACAACAAGCAATCAGCCACATGCAACATTCGAACAAATCAACAAATCTAAATCCAAAGATTCGAGCAATCAGCCACATGCAAGGTTCAAACTAAAACTAAATACAAAACAAAATCAAAACATCAACATTATTTTGAAAATTCAAGGTATACCTACCTCAGATAGAGATTCGAGCACAGCAAAACAAAACGGCGAGGAAGGAGAACGAAGCAATGGCGGTGGCGAGGGAGGAGAACGAAGCAACGAGCAGCAGCGAGGGAGGAGAACGAAGGAATAAGACTGCTGAGTCGAAGTTTGGGAATTATTATTTTGGGGTTTCAATTTCATTTTTGGCTCTAATATTTCAGCATTCCCGTTTTTTTTTTTTTTTTTTTTTACTCATCCGTTGTATTAGGTATTATTATTTTGTTCTTTTTTAAGTAATTGGGGTTGATCCGTTGGATTAGCTACACTGATCCGTTGGATTAGATCCAACTGAAAAATAAAATAAAATTAAAAATTTCGGGAACACTATCCGTTGTGTTAGAAGAATAATCCGTTGGATTAGCTCATGTAATACAACGGATTAGTTTCTCTAATACAACGGTTAGTATAAACCGTTGTATTAGCCCTGTTTTAGTGTAATACAACGGATTATCCTTGTCTAATACAACGGTATAAA